GAATTTTCAGCAAACACATAACGCCTGGGAATTCACATTATGTATTTCCAACTGCCATGTAATCACAAGAATCACAAGACCATTCAGATGACAAAGTATAAAAATCTTGGAATCTATAATATATATATATATACAGCAGCTTAAACGTAACAAAACATGAAATGGGATGCTGGTTGATATTATTACTTAGAAATACATTCATAACGTTTCCTTAGTTTTCCAGTCATTTGCAAACAATTAGACAAATATCACATTCCACTAAATCAATTTTAATATAAGTTGTCTTCACTTAATGACCATAATTAATCGGGATCCACATCTGAGTTGCTAAGCAACATAGTCATTAAGTGAAACATCATGTGACTGTGCCTGACTTATGAGATCAGTTCCACTGCAGTTGTTAAGCAATTCACCTGCAATCATTAAAAATGATATCATGTGATAATGACTTGCAACTTACTGCTGGCTTCTCCACTGATTTTGCTTGTCAGAATTTGGCTGTGAAGCTCGCAAATGGTAAACGCGTGCCAGTTTAAAAGCACCTGAATCATAATCACATGACCACGGGGCGCTGTTGTTAAGTTCAAGGACCAGATGTAAAGCTACTTTTTCAGTACTCGTAAATTTGAGAAGTCATTATATAGGGAAGTTGTTAAGTGAGGATTACCCATCCAGCAACTATGAAAATTACAACTGAAATATTTTTTTTCCTTAATATGCAATAGGCAGACATACCTGGCAAGAGTACACTCTAGAAATTCTGTATCCTGGCTAACTTTATCCACTAGTAGATTAAAATCTTGTTGAATGGAATAGGCTTGTTCAAGCAGATTTCCTGGTACTGGAGATGGGAATAGTGTAAAAGGTGCAAAATTCACAACCTGTTAAAACAAGGAAAAGCAATGGATATGCTGTCTTTGAACCCTTTGAACAAATAATGAAATGAAGCTCTTTCAAATCTTGAAAGTATATTGGAAGTATGTAGGGGAGGCAACTTAATAGCATTACAGAAGAATTATATTGACAGCATTATGTACTTTCAGAAGCTGAGCTTTAATGGAAACAAGTGTTCCATAAATAATGTAGCTACAAAGGAAAGGCAAATGGGAGCAAATAAAAGAAACAAAGCTTTCCATGTATAGTGTGTCACTTTGGCCTGCTTGCTCACATTGGATCACTACATGCTGCCAGATTCGTTAATGGTACCATACATGAAAAAAATTATCACATGGAGACAAATTACTGAGAACTTTGTTTTACATGCAGGCAATTGTCAGCTATCTTCACTGACCAGTATATGAGTGAATTTATCTACCCATTAAGGTTTGAAAGTATATAAAATGATAGCAGAAAATGAGCAGTACATATAACAAATATAAAATAGGTATGTTTTCTATTGAACAAACACATAAAAATCAATCCAGGAATAAAGGACATATAATTAATAAAGTTGTAGGGGGTATAGATGTAGTTAAATAACTGCTGAGTAATACTACAATATTGCTATACAATAACATAAGTACTTGTTTTAAAATCTGTCAAGTAGGTATGTGGTGCTACAAAGATTTTGCAACATGAATTCTAGTTTTGAACTTACATCAGAAGCATTGGGGTCATCTTTAGTCCTCATTAGAACACCTTCAAGTAGTGCTATGTCTATTGCAATGGGAGCCACATACTGAATGAGCTGCACATTTTGCAAAGTATCTTTCCAAAGCGTAGTCATCGCAGAGACTGAAAAAGATACAATAAAATTCTAAAAATATTATTTTATACACACACATACCACCAAGATGATGTGCAGAAGAAAAATAAGATTCAATATCCATTAAAAATACCATACTGCAATAAACTAAAAAATCCAGGATGAAATCATGTAATATTAAATTGTATAACACATTTAAAAAATTCAGCAGCTCAATATTTAACAATCCAAATAGTTAGCAAAAGGCAGATTAAAACATAATCAAATTTTAAAGATTGGTTTAAAATTTGCATAATGTGTTGGAATGAATTTCTATAAATTTGAGCCACCATCAAGAAGTTGATCTTATTCATAGATATAATTATGTAACTTAGTCCTAAAAACACACCATCTATCTAATATATACCTGGGAATACAGCCCACAAAAATATAGTGGTACTTTATACAGTAGAATCTAAAGTCTTTTAATGAACTTCACACTTGACCAAAGACATGAGAGTACATATCTAACTCTTAGATCCACGATATAAATTCACAAAGAATTAAGAGGCTGGTCTTTAAATCTGATTATTTTTACTGAAGTAAATATAAAAACAAATGAATTACAAAATGCATGGGTGGCATAGATAGCAATTTTCCTTCCAATTACACACAGATACATACACACACAGGGGAAACACTGTTTTACAGAAATATACTGAATGATTCCTAAATACATAGTTATGAAGCACCTCAAAATGAAATAGTATTGTAGATAAAATCAGATTTTAATGACTACTAGACAACAGAATGAGTGAAATACAGTATTGAAGTATCATTATATTCTGTCCATTCACAGAACTTTCCTCTTTGTTAGTATAGATTTCACATAGTCATCAATTTATGCTGCCTTTTGTAACAATGTCTGTGTCTATGTAACCTGCGTCTGAGCTCCAACAATCATTTTTTTCATGTATCTCTATTTGTGAGATACAGAAATATCCTATTAACAATGATGCTAGAAAAATGCACTAACTGAATATATTTTTTATTAGAGGAATTCCCCGATTTCTGATTATTTTTAGTGTAATAACGAAGTTCATCTGGCAGTTATACCTCTGGGCAAAGCAGTAACCTATTAACAATAATTATGATGTATATCTCCATGAGCCAAGAAGTACAATAATGAATCCCTACAGATATAAATTTTGACAACTTATGTCAGAACAGCAATTACAATCTTTTAAACATTATACAGAAACCCAGGCTAATGCAAGTAGTTTGTTCAAAGGAAACTTTATGCTGAATAATGTAACCAAACTTGAGTTAGAGTTAGTGAGTTAGAAAGAATTTAAATTATTTACTTGAACAAGTATAAACAACTTTATCAGGTTCATTAAAGTACCTATTGTAACTTGAAACATTTTGCCTTATTGGAAGAAATCTGGATAGCTACACACATTGCAATAATTCATTCTCATTCTGTTACAAAGCAAGTGTGAAAAAAATACAAGACCAATTCCATTTATTAACATAATATCAAATATCTATGACTGAAACCATGGAAGAAAAAATTCAATTGTTTCTGAAACACACTGGTATTATTTTAACACCAATTAAAATAAATGAAAGCAAACAAAGGGGGAAAAAATCTCAACTGTCAGTAAGCAAATGCTGACTCATCTATGGCCTGTCTCTAGTTAATAAGTATTTTTAATCACTCTTTTTTCCCTCACTTTCTGTTGTAGGAAGTTAGCACCCACCCCTCTCCTAGAAAAATGAAATATTCTAGGAAATATTAAAAAGGCAGAATATTATACCTCCTTGGAGGAGAAAAGGAGAAACATGTTTTAAAGACAAAGCAACTCCCTGCACCCTCCCTTCAGCTCCAGGGTGATGGGATTAAGACATGGCCCTCAGGACATGATAGGATTAGCCCTCTACCCATCTAGCAACAGAACTCACCACATGGCACCTGCGGAGATTAAATCACCCAGCAAGATTCAACCAAGCTGGGGACTCAAGACCCTACAAAGTTACCCCTGCATGGCTCCATGGGAGTCTGACAACCAGTCAGAATACATTTCTTACAGAGGAACAGGGAGCGCCAAGGCCCAAGAGAGGGTATAAATCTCTCTCTCTCTCTCTCTCTCTCACCCATGTGCTTTTTTTGCCCAGGACCTCAAACCATGTGATCTGAGTCCACCATTAAACCATCTTTCCAATCAGCCACCATGTTTCCAGTGTCTTTCTCCCCACTTGGAACTGAACCCAGATGGACATTTCTTCCAACACTGTAAACGACAGCCTCTTTCAGAACAGATCTCCCCCATTCTCAGCTCGGAACCTGTGGAAGTGAAGCGCCTTCTTTCCCATCATAAAATGAATCGACAGTTCCGTTATAGCAATTTCTAAAGAATCTAAAGCCATTTTTGCCTTTCAGGATCGACCTTTGCACCACAGATACTAGCTAGCTTTGGTGCCGGTCTATTTCTGCTTCCCGAAGCCCCCTTCGGCAGCGGCTTAACTCTTCAGAACACCCCGATTCATTGTTAGAAAAAGGACAAACGCTGCTCTGCGTCCTTCTGCACCTCAATAGTCCCGCACCCCGCTTTTTGTCACCTGAGAAAGGCTTTGAGTTAATGGGCACCACTGGGTCCTCCCATTTCTCCCTTCCAGTGGGTGAGGAAAGGCGTCGGCCGCTACATCCTCGGCTCAGAGCACTGATACTCACTAACACACCGCGCCCTTTCCGCGGATTTAAATTTCTATGCAAACATTGAAAAAAAGAAGACATATATCCCGCCACCCAGGCGCCCAGCCGTCCACCCGGTACCTGAGACCACTCTGACGGGAATCCACAACTATGTCCGCTCAGCCAGCCCCTCGCAGATTGGCTACTCTTTCAGCCTATCCACGAACACCAATGCCCTTTGTACTGATTGACAGGAGTGTAATCATATCGGAAAACTGCGCACAAAAAAACAAAAAGGCGAATGCCGAGGAGAAAGGCGGAGCCTATGCAAATACAGAGGCGGGTCCCGGCGCCTTCCCCTCCTGCCCTTTACCTGAGACCACTCTGACGGGAATCCACAACTATGTCCGCTCAGCTCGCAGATTGGCTACTCTTTCAGCCTATCCACGAACACCAGTGCCCTTTGCACTGATTGACAGGAGTTTAATCATATCGGAAAACTGCGCACAAAAAAACAAAAAGGCGAATGCCGAGGAGAAAGGCGGAGCCTATGCAAATACAGAGGCGGGTCCCGGCGCCTTCCCCTCCTGCTCTTTACCTGATGCATGTTTCTCCACTAGGGGTTTTTTTCTCCACGTTTGCGGGAGCGGGCGCCATATTTGAATGTGAACGGTGGCCAGTCCGGAGCAAGGGAGGGAGGGACTGGAATCTGAAGCCGAAGTCAAGATAACGGGATGGGGAAAATGGTATTACAGGCCCTTTTTACAACCAGGAAGCTGTCTATGGAAGCTGCTGCCTTCTTTGCAAGGACGGCTGTAATGTTGGGAAAGGTGACCTCACCATGTTGGGGTCCGGTCACAGAGGGGTGCAGAGGTCACGCGTCGGACTTGTGAGCGTCTTTGACAATCGCGCCTGCTGCCTTGGGGTGAAAACAACAACAACCACCCTGCATGGATGAACTGCTGTAAGACCTGCGAAGGGGACGCCCTGCGGGTGAGAGGAGAAGCGTCCGTCGTGGAACGAGATGGCCGGCTGAGGAAAGGAGGGAGGGCGAACAGGAGTAAACCTTCCAAGGGGGCGTTCATGGGTCCTCCAAACGGTTGAGGTGAAGTTCAAAAATCGGAACGGAGAGCCGCTTTTCTGGAACAGTATAGGTGCCCTCAGGCTCTTTCTTCTTTACTATCCAAGGAAGCATTCCTTCCTACAACCCTCTTTGTTTATCCATATCACAAATGTGTGAAAATAGCTCTCACTTAGAACAGGGGTGGGCAATTGTTGCTCTTTTACAACCTGTGGATTTCAACTCCCAGAGTTCCTGAGACAACCAAGCTGTCTCAAGTTGAAGTCCACAGGTTGTAAAAGTGCCACAAGATCCTTGTTTCTCCTTCTCCCCTCCCCCTTTTCTTCTTGTCCTCTTTTTAATACTGTTTCAGACACTTTCAAAAACAAACAATTCCATAGTTTCCCACCTGTTGGGTTTCTCTGGCAGCGTCTTATCCAGGTAGGAGTAGGCGTGACCCTACCTAGCTAAGAGAAGCTCAGCCTGATATTGATACCTATTTCTTGTTTCTTCTGTGTAAAATTTGAATTATACAGCCTATGCAGTGCTGGGATTCAGGCAGTTCGCACCACTTCGGGAGAACCGGTTGTTAACTTTCTGAGCAGTTTGGTGAACTGGTTGTTAGAAGAAATCATTAGGGCAGAGAACCGGTTGTTAAATTATTTGAATCCCACCACTGAGCCTATGGGGCAAGAACGTTTTCTAAGCAGAAAGGCATTGTGCAAAGAGTTCCTAACTTACAATTGCTAGTAATAACGGAATTGAGAGAGACTGTATTTCTCAATTTTTATTGAACCATGGCATAGCAGCCTTTTTTTTTCTCCTGTTACCTATATATCCTCATAACAGTGGCCTTGTCTTGTCTTATGACAAGCCAATCAACAAGGCAGTCTTAAATTATTTTTAATTCACCCAAATTAAACTCTATAGACAGTAATGTGTATTACAGTGCCTTTGTCATCCTTTATTTGTAGAAGAGAAGACTATATAATTTCAGACACTATAAGCAGGATACGTACAGATCAATAATAGCACATTTCATGTTTGTGTTTCTGTCAGTTGAAGAATGAGTCATTAACACAATTTAACAAGATAGGGCATTCATTTAATGTAATTAACAAGCAAAGCTTGTGGAGTGTGTTAAGATCAGTGCAATCTTACCATTTTGTAAAAACGTTTTGGTTATTATTTTCCAATAGGCATGAAAAGAAGTAGATTCCTGGAAAATTGAGAATAACCTGGCCCATTAGCAGATAGCAATATTTCAAATGAAGTTTGTTTGGGGCTTTAATGTTCAAATTGATGTAAGTGCTATCAGAAAGTAACAACTTTTGTTAGATCACTTTAGGTTGATGAAATCTTGCATATTAGTTTATTGATTTAAATTGGTCCAATAAAAAATATTTGCCTACTTATTTTAAATATGTAATTATTTAAATAATTTAGTTAATAGTGTGATCCTATACATATCTATTCAAAAATAAGCATTATTTCTTCTATGAACTTTAGTCCCAGGGAAGTGTGTGTGTGTGTGTGTGTGTGTGTGTATGTCTGTATATATATATATGTTTTTCTTCTAGCCAGGTTTTCCTTAAGTAGCCAAGGTTTTACGTAGGGAAAACCTGGCTAGAAGAAAAACACACATAAACCCTACAAAGAAGTAAGAATATATATATATATATATATATATATATATATATATATATATATATATATATATATATATGTATGTATGTATGTATGTATGTATGTATGTATGTATGTATATAATTACAACATAATTTTAGGTTCACCAATACCAATATGCAGTTATTAAGTAAACACTCCAAAACAGGTTCCAAGACAAAAATTATTAAGAAAGAAATAGCAACCCACTCCAGTATTCTGCCAAGAATACCAAAACGATACTCTCAGCCAGGATAAAGTTGACATGATACTGAAATTTGACACTCCCCACCCCCAGTTTGGAAGATATCCAAAAAGCTATTGGAGGAGAAGACAGAGCAAGTATGAAAAGCACTAGTGCTTTTAATGTGGCAGGATTAAAGCTGAAAGAACATCCAGCCGCTGTTGTAGCCAGAGACAAAAGGGGACTTAAATACAGTACTGCTAATATATATGTATATCATTGGTATGTGGAATGTCAAATCCAGGAAATAAGACAAACTTGGTGTGATCAAAGCAGAAATGTCAAGAGGAACATTAATATTCTGGGTATCAGCAACTAAAATGGAATGAATGGATCATGTCACATCACAGATACATCAGTTTTTCTGCAGACCAAGGAAATAGAGTATTCATTACTACTAACAAAAGGATGCCAAAGTGCGTGCTTGGATACATCCCCAAAACTGATAGACTGATCTCAGTTCAAATCCATTACAATATTACAGTTATTTGAGTCTATACTCCAACCACAGATTCAGAGAGAGTGAAACTGAATGTTCTATGATGACTTGTGATGCAGTGTTGACACAACACCAACAATGTCACATTTATTATGGACTGAATGCAAATATAAAACAGCATTTTGAATAATTAATAAGTTTGGCCTAGGTATGTGAAACTAGACAGTTGAACGCTAAATAAAAAATGATTATAGCATATAATAGTTCATCTCAGCAACATAAAAGATGATGTTTATGTTCCGCAAATAAAGATGGAGAAACTTTGGTGCTGACTGCAGCTTGGATCGCAAACATCTTGCAAAATTATGGCTTAACTAAAGAAAACAAAGTCATGAAACCAATAAGATACAACAGCAGTGTTTTATATAGTTATGCAGTGAAAATTACAGATTAAATGGATTAAATTAGATTTGATAAATAGAATACCTAAAAAACACCAGACTGAATTTTGCGACATTAAATTTCCCAATGTTCCCAAAATGTAAAAAGCAAAAGAGGGAAAAGGGATGTTCACTGATATCCTGAAAATGTCTAAATCAAGACAAAAAGCAAAAGACAACAGGCAGAGGAAAATTTGTTGAATTAAACACTGAATTTCAGAGAACAGCAAGATGAGACAAGGAGATGTAAATAATTGCACAAAGATAGAAGGATAACAATTGAATAGAAAAAGCAAGAGTTTTACAGGTAGGACTTGAAATCATAAGAAGTGACACTCATGTTGATATCTAAAGAGACACTGAAGTATTTGTCATACAAAATAATTATGGACGACATGAAAATCTCAAAGATCAAATTGAAAATATTTAAAAATAGTCTGATATTTAAAGTGGTTTCTGTTTCAGAGGATAAACTTACATATGGAGCATCAGAAAAGCAGTTAAAAGAACAAGAAAGAATGCTTTAGAAAACATAGGATGTATTCTAATTTATTGCTGCTTAGGGAGATTAGCATATATAGATAATATATCAAATCCTTCTATATGGTATAAACATAAATAAACATAAATCATATAATACCATATTCTCCTATATGTTATAAACCTACATATGGTATTAACATAAATAGAATATTTCTATCTTTTAAAATATTTTTATTATTAATTGCTGATTCTGTTTACATATTAGGAACATTATAACTAAATTTATATATTGTGATATGTATGGTAAGTAAATTAATTATATGAGTTCATTACATCCAATCTATTGATTTATGTGAATAAATGAACAAAATATAAATTGGACAATAGATACTAAAAATTAATTCTTTGCAATGTTGAGATATATTTTAGTATGGAAATATTGTCAGATACATTTTAAATTTTATTTTGATTTCTAACAAAATGTATATCATACTATATTTCTGTTTCAGATGCTATGTCCAGAAAAAACCTGGCAGATTGTGACACAGAAAGTGAATGTGATTTTTATTCTGACTGTTGGGAACAAAGTGTTACATATAACAAAGGTAAAGATGTCAGTCAACAAGGAAACTCTTTGGTATTTTCACTGCTTTTTCTAAGTTACTAAATCTATTGCTTTTAGCACAGGCTGTATACATTTTTGTTGTAATGCTGAATTTTGTAAACATTAACAATTGGAAAGCAAACGTTTCTGGTTTTTTCCTTTATTTTTCCTAGATTTGACTGACTCTAGCACTGAAAATTACTTCTGTTTTGATTCATGCAGCTTGTTTGAAAAAGAAAAAGGGGAAAAGAAGTTGCATGGCATAGTGCTTATATTGGAAAATAGCCAGGTAGACAGTACAAGTTTCTGCAAAGACAATCCTTTGCTGCAAGGAGAAAAAGTAGAGTGCACTAATAAATTGCAAGAAGAATTATCACTGGAATCTTTATTGTTTTTCAAGTGTAAGAACTATAATACAAATGGCCAGTCACTGAAATCTTTTTCAAGCAAAATAGTTCCATTCATATACAGTAGTTCTTATGGAGACCACTTATGTTTAAATAAAGCAATCCCTCAACTGATCCTTACTGAAAATTCCATTGAAGGACAAATCATTTATACAGTGAAAGAAGCTTGTGCATTTGATAAATTCCATCAGAAGCAGTCATCAGATGATAACCCTCTACCTTCAAAGCAAAACAAAGCTGTGCAAGTTTCTTCTAGAGAAATAAAAATAAAGGACAATATTTGCTATAAATGTTTCAAACAATCACCAATATCTACTGCAATAAATAAAGACCCGAAGAAACCTAAAAACTTCCACAGTTTTGAAAGTCATTTAGTAAGTAGCCATTCAGAATACTCCTCAGATTCCTATCAAATTAACAACCAAATTGCTGAGCAGATCTGCTCACATTCCAGCTCAGAAGAGCCTATTTCTTTGACACTGGAAGCAACCTATGTATATCCAGATGGTTCATTAGCAAGCAATTCTGAACTTTCAGATGTGAGTGAGGATGAAGATTCCCAGAGGCATGCTTTAGCTTTTCAGTTTAAAGACTCTGAACATAATCAACTGTTTAAGAAGTTGCATCATTTTATAGTACCACAAAAACAAGCCACACATTTTAAAAAGCAGGGAGAACTTTCTCAAATTCTAATTGATGAAGCCAATTACCTTCTAGGAACTCACTCAGATCCACCAGAATCTAGTGCTTCCAATGAATATTCTGATCAAGCATTACCTACATCAAATCTTTGGTCCTCATATTTCTCACCCTTCAAATATTCACAGGCAAATCAGTTACCTCCCTTTTTTCTTCAGTCATCACCCCAAAATCCAGTTAAATCTACTTTTCAAAAAAGAAAACTAAAAGTGTCCAAACCTGTAAAATCTGTTGTGTTTACCAAACAGAAAACATTGCAAAGAGACCAAAAATATAAAAGTAAGCCATCTATCGTCTCCAAATTTCATTCATTTAAAACATTGGACTTTGAACCTATAGACAAAAATAAAAGAGTAAAAGAACAATATGTGTCTTTAAATCAAACGTCTAAATGCCACTGCAGCCCATTGCTTGACTTAACTGTTGATCTGCATTCTGAAGACAAAAATTCTGAAAAGTTTCTAACTCTTCACAGAAGTTCTCACAAACAAACTCGAGTTGGCAAAGTCATTCATAGGTTTTCCTCCTGTTATTTGCTAAGTCCTAAAAACAGTTTTGAAAGGCTTCACTATATTTCTCCAATTAGAAAAAAAAATCATTTGAAGATGCAAAACATAATGAATTATTTTTTAGGCTGGACTGGCAGAGAGAACAGAGTTGAAAAATATAAAGAGGATATTTCTCCCACATCAAAGATACGGGCAAATGAGACTTTTATTTCACATATGCCAATTGACAAAAGGAGTTCAACTGTTCCACTTCATCCACATTCAAATAATTATTCTGTTCCATTTTCCACAACATTGCCTTTTGTAGATGAGATGAGACATTCACAAGTTCCTTCTTTGCAAACAGAGAGAAGAAGTCCTAGAGCATTGTATATTTTTCCAAATGAATGTAAGCATTCATATGTTCCCTGTGTGGAAATGGAGAGGAATCATTGGAGTCCTGTGGAATCTTATGGTAAATACAGCACCTGCCATTCCCCTTGTTGTGCAAATTCTAAAACACAACAGCCACCAAATAAATTAAATATGTGTAATAATAGAAGTATGGAAAAACTGAATTTTGGAACTAGTCAGGTGGCAGATGGAGGCTTGGTCCTAAAGAAGTTTTCAGTGTGCTCCTGTGGAACTATGTCACAAAGTGGTTTGTTTCCTAACAACGATATTTCAGAGTCAGTTAGAAGGAAAACTAGACCAACCCCAGATAGTAATTGGAAAGCCAATAAGACTGCCTCAAACAGATGGAATTCAACTGCAGGAAACTTCAACACTGAGAAAGTGTGCTGTGGTTGTCACCATGTCTGTCCAACATGTTCTTCGCACAATCTATGCAAACACAAAGAAACCAAGAACCAAACTGGTCCAAGAAACCAGGTTACTGAAGTAGCATCTTTATTTGAAAATGGATTTCCCATAAGGAATTTGAAAGAGGATGTAGAAAAAAGTGAAACCATGAAAATAGGTGAAAGAAAAGTCAAATTTCATCTAGGTTCAGATGCTTTTCAAGACACTGACCTTTTAACCACACACATTTCATCACCAACTAATGAATGTCATCAAATACCAAAACATTTTGTTTCTCAACCAGAATGTTCATGCTGCCAGACTGCTGTTAGAGAACACCTCAGCACATCAAAAGTATCTAATTGTCTTGGTTCAGAAAACCACGTGCCAAAGAACTACCTCAACAGAGAGAGTATATTTCTAGTGGATCCTAATCGGCAAATTAAAAGCCAGTGTAAATGTTCCCATGAAATATCTCTCTTCAAGCCCAAGCAAACTGATGTATATTCAGGAAACAGACCTGAGATTTCAAAGAGGAAGGATCCCAAACTTACCCAGGTTTGTCTTTTGTCAAGTAAACACATACACATTTAATTTGACTTAATTTGGAATATTAATGCTGTAGTACAGTGTGTGTTTACTTAGGAATTAGCCCATTTTTTAAGTTAATGCATAAACTTTTAGAAGAAAAATACTTATTTAACTTTTAATTCTGAGAAAAGCAACTTGTACTTTTAGATGTTTTCTTTATTTAAAATAATGTGTTCTTGATAAGTAAGACAATAGTTACAATGCATTATAACATACATTCTCTAAATCTTAAATACTAGTGTTGTCCCAAAAGATTTCGCATGTAGATTGAGAAAATGCTTTCCTAAAATATGTTGCTGTTGTCAATGATAGGTTTCTCTGCTAGCTTCCTGGCTACTGCATTTTGTAGCAACTGCAGATTCTAGAATCTAGATTATTTTCAAAGGCAGCTCCACTAAGACTACTTCTGTTGCTTAATAATAAAGGCCTGAGTTACTATCACTGATTCTTCTTGGTTCAGATAAGGCTATAGCCCATCTGGAGCAACTAATGTATACTCCTGGAAGACCTTGATGTTTACCACTGTTTTGGTAGGGTATAATCTGAATCTGTTTCCATTCATTTCTACTTGGCATCCAGGCACTGGTTCAATATTTAAATTGTATCTCTAGTCTGATGTATTACACTTGGAGGCCATAATCATACTTCTGATACCTTACCATAAAACAATAGCTAATATCTCCCAACTGTTTCAAATAAATTTTAAACAATGTAGGATAGAAGACTGAATCCTAGGTTACTCCATATTGGAGCAACCAAATATTTGATTACTATTCCATCATAATTCAACTAAACCACCAACTTGGGAAGAAGCAAAACTATTGTAGAATAGTGACCCCATTGCTTGTAGACACTCCAGTAGTTAAATGCTGCAAGAAGTCTCAGAAGGAATACAGTGGACCTACAAGTCCTGATGCAGCTCATTGACCAGAATGGCTGGTGCTGTTTCTTTTGCATGTCCAGGCCTAAAGCATGAATGAAAGGGGTCTAGGTGATTTGTTTATTCCAGAATCTTCTTAAACTGATTCCCTTTTCAAGAAACCTTTCTCATATGGGAAGGCTGAAGACAGGTGGAAGCTGTCCAATACATTTGTGATTTAAAAATGGCTTCTTCAAAAAGAGCCACATTACTGCCTTTTTCTAAGAAGTACACCCTCCCTTAGAATGTCATTAGCTACACTGAGTCACACATATTCTTCCAGAAACACCAGGCAAGGGCACAGACCCAATCCAAGCAAGAATCTGCAGTCATAATAAGAGCAGAGGTATATACCTATTTTGCCACTATTATAGCTGCTATTTAGCTTGTACTACTAGATAATAGTATTCACTTTTTATTTGGTGACATCTTTATTGGGCAATTTTTCATTTCATCTTTGGAAATTAGGAGGCAGTCTTTTTCTGTGTCTGGTTACCTTTTCTCACAAACACTAACCAATGTCCATCAGGTGGCTGGACCATCCTAAATAGTCCCTTGGACAGATGCAGGCTCTTTAGGATCCATATCCTAACCAGAGAGATTTGAACAAAGAAAAAGACAGATATCCTACCTATCCATGTTACTTATCTGTTCTTAAATAAAAGCCAGATCCAGTATATGCCTACTTAGGCTATGCCCCAGATTCGAAGCCAAAGAAAAGTATTTCATTACGTCTAGAAGATATTTGCATATTGATTCCTTTAAAATATTGTTTTAAATGATTTTGCTTACCTTAGTTTAAATAGTGTAATGTATTGAATATTTTATCTTTATGATTTAAATGTTATTTATATTTGCTGTTGTTGTTGTTGTTAGTTACGAAGTCATGTCCGCAACCACATGGACAACGTTCCTCCAGGCCTTCCTGTCCTCTACCATCCTCTGGAGTCCATTTAAGCTCACACCTACTGCTTCAGTGACTCCATCCAGCCACCTCATTCTATGTTGTGCCCTTCTTCTTTTGCCCTCAATCTTTCCCAGCATTAGGCTCTTCTCCAGTGAGTTCTTCCTTCTCATTAGGTGGCCAAAATATTTGAGTTTCATCTTCAGGATCTGGCCTTCTAAAGAGCAGTCAGGGTTGATCTCCTCTAGGACTGACCGGTTTGATCGCCTTGCAGTCCAAGGGACTCGCAGGAGTCTTCTCCAGCACCATAGTTCAAAGGCCTCAATTCTTTGGCACTCAGCCTTTCTTATGGTCCAACTTTCACAGCCATACATTGCAACTGGGAAAACCATAGCCTTGACTATACTCACTTTTGTTGGCAGGGTGATGTCTCTGCTTTTTAGTGTGCTGTCTAGATTTGCTACAGCTTTCCTCCCCAGGAGCGACTTTTAATTTCTTGGCTGCAGTCCCCATCTGTTCTGGGCCACAATACTATCTGCGGTGATCTTGGAGCCCAGGAAAATAAAATCTGTCACTACCTCCATTTCTTCCCCATCTCTTTGCCAGGAATTGAGAGGGCTGGATGCCATGATCTTAGTTTTCTTAATGTTGACTTTCATATTTGTTGACTAGTGTTAAATGAGTTATGAGCCACCTTCAGTCCCTTATTGAAGCTGAAAGGCTTTCTGTTTGTTTATTGTTTGTTGTGGGGAAAATAAGAGGAGCAAGGAGTATTATGTATGCTCACCACCTGAAGTTATTTATAAAAATAATGAAGGTGGGATAAAAAAAATGATACAAATATTTAGTAAATTAAATACTATAGTTATGCAATCAAACTTACTGTGTTCAACATACCAGTTAAAGTACAAGCAAGCATCAAAGCAAAATAAATTTTGCATAACATTGTCTTTTCCATTTGGTTTTGCTTGTATTTGGACCAGACATAAATGCTAAAATGTTTTTTTTTGTTATGTTAAGGCTTTTCATACAAAAGATATACTATATTTTTTTGTATAGCCAGAAAAGCAAGTCCTGCTTTTTGCCTTCTGATCAAAGAAAAACTTGCAGCCAGTTGTGTAAACAAAATTAAATTAATAATAATGTAATATATATTATTTCCATTTCTTTTGTATTAAATATCTGGATAATGTAGATTATATTTGTATAATAAAGTGCATTGTAGTCGTGTCTATAAAGTCACACTAAAAATATAGTATTTTTAAAATGTAAAATATAGTATTTTAAAATACTATATTTTAAAATACTAAATATAGTATTTTTAGAGATTACTAAATAAACTAAGCTCTGGTTTTTGATACATTTTGCAAAATCATAAAGTAACAGTGCAGCTCAAAATGAATCAAGTAATATGTATTTTAAGGAAGTCTTCCATTATTGACATGTTTTTATTTTTCTTAGGAGTCTTCAAAGTTTAATCATGGTTGGAAGAGACCTGAACAATGTAAATATTGCCAAGAAAAAAATCAATACAGTCATTTGCAGTAAGAAAAAGATGATTTAAAAATAATGAAATATTGGTAGATCTTGATATGAACTTCAGAGAAAACCCATTGAAGTACCACAAAAAACAGTTAGAGGCAAAAACATATAATTTCACCGATGAAGAGTATACATTCTGCTCCAAATATGAAGGGTGAGAAGATAAAAGCTTCCTGCAGAGATATCTCCCATTACACTCAGTTGAACTTATTTCTAAATAAATATGCATAGGATTAAGTTCTTAATAATGTATACTAAATAGAAAAGGTCTATGATAAATTTCAGAGGGGTAGATAACATTGGCCTCTCACAGCAAAAATAGTAAAAAGTATCCCGAACTAGCATATTAATAAAAGCTTACCTTTTCATAGACTAGATCTCCCAAAATCAGGTATTTTGTGCTATAAATCAAGCAATGGCAATTCATTTTAAAGCAGATTCGGTCATCATCGCATATACAAATAGTCCTCACTTGATGATCATACAAGTTATAACATACAAGTGCTGTCAGGTGCAAGCAATCAAAACCGCTCAGTGAATAGGTCTAAATAAATACTTTATTGCTGATCAATAAAGAACAAGAATCTCACCAGATGCCCTTGAGAAACAGCAGACATAAGTTTAAGGGGTTTGACCTTAGAGGTTTCCTCCACCAAACCAACTCCAAGGTGGAATATCTCCTTATTCCTTCTAAAGGATCCCTCTCATTCAGCCAGTGATTCCACCCCAAGTGCTGAGTGAATGGTAGTCACAATCAGTTGTCAAAGTTCCAGCTGTTGCAACACTTGTGTAGTCACAGCCAGGCCAGGAAGGAGGCAACAGAGTGATGTTTGTGGAGGAGCCAAGATGACAGCGTAGACATAAGAACCTTGTCTTGTGCTGCCAGCACAAGGAGTGATAGCTTGCAAACTGCAGAGTGCAAAACATAGCAAAATCGTAACTGCAAAGCATAATATAATTGGGAAATAACCATGAACATGGCAATGAAACAAGATACAGTAACATTCAGTTGACTGTAAATACAAGACAAAAAGTCACAATCTTTCAATAGTTGGGAGCCCCTTATCTTCAGCAGCCAAAGATTATTCTGACAAGCATATAGCATCTTTCCCAGCTAGGTTTTTCAAAGTATATATAATTATTTATCCTCTTAATTTCATATGTTTATATTTTGTGGTTTGATAGTTATCAAAATTAAGAACACCAGCTCATCCATCCTGTTTTCCCAGGCAGGTGGCTGTGCTTAATAAAGAACTTGAACTATCCTTACAAACACACAGAAAAAAAGCCCATTTTACACAGGAAAAGTAAAAAATGAAGTATACCATTTACATCTCTTATAGTAATCCGCAATATTTGTTTCTGCCATACTATATATGTCTTCTGCTAGAATTTATTTCAGGAGATTAGTTGGAAGAGAGGGATAGATGCCGCACCCACATGGTGAAGAAAAAGGTGGTAAAAATTGGGTGTTTTTTTTTTTTTTAACCAAACATATAACTTGTAATGCTGGGCATACAGACACCTGAGATGTGATGCATTATCCCCTCTTTCTCAAGCTTTTCTCCTATGATCCCCATTATAATTATCCATACTCCTGTAGACAGCTTATTATATACATTGTCACCATTTTATTCCATGGGGGGCGGGAAATCTTGGATTTTTACAGGGGAGAGGAATTACCAAGGCTCCCTCTGACTTTTTTCTGTAACTTAGCCAAGCAGGGAGGTATGCTAAAGAATGTCTTTCACGATGAAAGTGCTGACTTGGTAAAGAAAGTTAAGCCTTTGTATCAGGGTTAAAGGGTTTACTGGGGGTAGTAAGACATAAGAAAGACATAAAGAAAAAGAAATACAGGTTATCCTCTAGTTACAACCATTTGTTTAGTAACTGAAGGTAGAATGGCATTGAATAAAGTGACTTGTGACTCATGACTGTTTTTCACATTTATGGCTGTTGCAGCATCCCATGGTCATATGACCAAAATATGAGCGCTTGGCACCTGGCATGCATTTATGATCGTTGCATTGTCCCGGGATCATGTGATCACTATTTGTAACCTTCCCAGTCAGCTTCTAACAGGCAAATTCATTGGGGAAGCTGGATTCATTTAACAACTCTGTGATTCACTTAATAACTGGCAAAAAAGGTCTTAAGTGGGGAAAAATTCATTTAACAACTACCTTGCTTAGCAGTGGAAATTTTGAGTTCAATTAAATAGGCTAAGATAAGATTATACCCATATGGCCCAACAAGACAAATTTCCAGTAGCTCAGGTTATTTCATAAAATCTAGAATCCTAATCCAATTGTTTACATGGGATGTTTTCCTTACATAGCTGGTTTGGTCTTAGAGATCTTGGTGTAGAATGGGCAACACTAGCTGAATCAGCCAAGGCCAACGTTTGTAGGTCATCTCAGGTTTATTTCACAAAATCTTAAATCGCTTTAACAATAATACCGTAGTAACAAGGTGCTTCAGGAGAAGCAGACAATACTAATTCTGTTAGAATGTGACAGTGGAATCCCTGAAAATCTATCCAGACAAGTCAGAAATTCATGATGACCTTTCTTGAAGAAATAGGTGCCATTGTTATTGGGAGAGTTGTAGCATTTCAACAGTCTAAATGTGAACTCAAAACAATTCAGGAGCCAACTTTTGGGGGGATAGGGTGAGTTTGTGTCAGATTATTTAACAAATGGCCACAAAGCTAACAATAAGTATTGTCATAAAAATGTACTGTTTATAGGAATCCTGCTATCTTAAAATATCAAACCAATATAAAATCTGTTCCAGATAATTCAAAAGTAAAACTTTAGCTTGGCTATATATTCCTTAAAGGACTAGTGAGTGAAAAACTCAGTGTCTCCGACAAAAGAGTCAACATGTTTGTAAGATTAATGTTCTTTCTTTAATTCATGAATCCCTAAATGTGATAGTTTTTTCGTAAAGTCTGTGAAATAAATGGGTTCTATTTAAACAGCCACATGATGGCAGTATTCTATGGCAAGACATTTTCTACTGCAGAATGTAGTTTGCAGAAAATGTTATTTGTTACTTAGAAGTTCAGGAAACCATTCAGATTTTCTGGAATATTTATGAAAGTTTAACAATACAAGACTGAAAAAAAAGTGCCTGTGCTCTTTTTATGCTTTGAAGGTCACAATTTTTTCAGAAAGATGCCACTTTTACAATAGTCAGCTTTGATCATTTTCTTTATTCACATTAAGTGTTACATCCTACATCTTAATGCATTTCTATGTTAGACTGAATTTTTAAAGTTTGGATTCATATCCATAAAATAATCTTGCTTGGTTTACATAATTACAAAAGTTTAAATACACTTGACAATTTATAAATTAGTTTTCTGTCAAATTATAAAATAGTCTGTGGCTGGCACTTAAAAACCTCTGGATAGTTACATTTCTTTCTCATCCAGCTGTTAAAATTTATCACTTGAACCTTTACTGATAAGCAACTGAGCAAAGTGTCATTTCTCTGAAAATTGCCTGTTGGCTCTGTGCCCCAAAATAGAAACTTAAATCTATAGTTGTCTTCTAAACAGCAGAGGCTGATTGATCAGATTTTAATATTTAGATGTATTTATAAAGAAAGCTGCTAGAGACATATTTTATGGACATAGTAATAAGATTAATATGTCAGAACAAAATAAATAAGTTTATAATCTTTGGAAGAGCAAGTGTACAGAAGTTCAAATTAAAACTAAAAAGCATGTTAATTATGGCAAAACGTGGGATTTAATGTTGGCAGAAATTATGGCAGAAGTTGGGATTTAATGTTCTAGTTCACTAATTTGAGAACAAAAATTCTATGGCCAAAGTTTTGAGAGTGGGAAAAATGTATAAGAATAAGCATGTTCCAGCATATTAATGTAAAGGAATTCTGCATAGGGACTTTTGTTCATAGCACAAGGAACTGCCCATCCAGAAACAATCTGCAACTTGCATTTTTATTAATTTTAAAAAACTATTGATGGTTTTTCAACCATAACAAGAGGACGGTTGATACTAAAAATATTTATGAAAAGGGGGAAGGTTTGACATTTGTAGGAATAAATAAATGAGATTTAAAGATCTGCTATATTTAATCAGTTGCTTAGATCCTAAATCATTAAATTTGTGCACACTGATGTCGCCAACTAATTAGTACCATATGTTTAAAAGAAAATATGAATTATTTCTTTAATTAATACTGAAATTATAAATACATGGATGGCAAGAAAATTAATGGGAAAGGCATTTCCTGTTTTGTATAAGATAGTACCTGCAGTATGAAATCCTTAAATACACATTTTTGCAGATTTCACTAATTAAATGTGATTATTCAGTTGAAATTTTTCAAAGGCAGCAGTATTTTCAGTTTGAAACCATTTTCTTGGAGCGAGATCACTTTATAATTCCTGTTAAATGGTACTGTTTCCCCCCTCCTTTTGTAAAGTACTAAAGAGTCTATTTAAATCATTATTATATCACATAAGCCTTTGGAGTTGAGATTTCAGAAAACATCCTAAGCATCACAGAACATATTGAAGTGATCTATGTTCATAAACATTTCTGGACCTAGCGATAGAACTGCATTCATTTTGATTTAGTAGAAAATCCAATCCCTGATAGCAAAGCCTTTTAGAAAAAAAGTATGTAATAAAACAGGATTTCCAGGGGATAACATTCACGTTTATTTTGCTTCACTGTTGCTTCAGTTCATTAAAGGTGTGCCAAGTTTTGAAGCCTAAAAAATTAGCTCAGATCCAGACATAGTAATACCTGATTAGTGTAATCCTGTTGAAATCAATGGGAATTAACTTGCCATTGCTAATAAGCCCATTGATTTATATGCTTTTGGTATGCAATGTCTGGATCTGGTCCATTGTAAACAGGATTAATAATGGAATCATGAGTAAAAAAAACCCCGTGTGTAGTAAAAAGTCTGCATCTATTACTTTAAACTTTGATTATAGCGGATAGTGTATTTAATAACTGCATTTACTTGAATAATGAAAATGTAAATTAGGTTTCAGTTTCAAGTAAAAAGCTTCATTGATGGAATAAGATCTTTAAGTAATTCTGGAAAAAATGAATTATCTACTTATCAGCTCAAATATTGAATTTATGAATCCTATTAATTTGTAAATGCAATTTTATTTGTGGTTAATACTGGAACTGTAGTGTTCCTTTGTAGAAATAAATATCCCTAATACATATAATTTTAATAGAAGAGTATATGTAAG